TGTACATATATAAATATACCATGTGTATTTTTATAATACTAAATTTATCAACATAAAATAAATCTAATCTATTCATTAAGAAAAAAGAGATATTTGATAATCTTTACACCTATCCGATGCATTTACAGATTACCTACCACTAATATATAACTAGGTATACATACATAATTATCGCGTGTATATTTTTATTATACTAAATATATCAACATAAAAAATCTAACCTATTCATTAAAAAATTGGATAAATTCAAAGATCTTCCCTTAAGTTTGGCTTCATAACACTAATCTCCTATGTGGTTCATATATTACCTTAACCTTCCTTATTTTTATTTATTTGTAACAATTTTTTTGTCTCGTTATTATAATGTTAAAATAAATATGATCTGACTAGTTTTGATATTTAGTATTTTAATTTATTTTGTAAATGTTTTTTCTAATTCATTTTCGTCCTTCGTTATTGTTAATTTGAAAAATTCACCAAGCGATTTTCATACTCCGTCTGTTCATTATAAAATCTTTGTTTATGAAGAAAGATATTTGTCAAAATTGTCCAAATGATAATAGTTAAAATTACCACACAGAAAAAAGACAATTGGTTGATAGTATTAATTACTTTCTCCGTTTCTATTTGTATGTCATCATTTTAGATTTTATGTCCTTTAAGAAACTAGATAAGTTTACTATTTGTATCCTTATTTAGTATTCTCTTGAAGACAAGTTTTTAATTAATGAATATAAATTAATTTATTTTAATTAATTAAATTGACCAACGTACATGAATTAATCATTTAGTTTTTGTATAGTAAGGATGACATACTCTTGAAATTAAGTTGAAAATTTTATAAGCTGACAAAATTGTAGACGTTCTGAGCTTCACATTTCTAAGGTAAGAAAGATAAAAAAACCTTTTCTTTTGGAAACCTAACTGTCACAATCATATTTTGTTTGGACAGCGTAGTTGTCATAATGTTGGGTAAAAGATGAGCTCAACAATATTTAATCTGTCCAATTTGTTCAAAATTTTAAAAATTGAGTTCAATATAATTTAAATTGAGTTTAATCTCAATTCATTCAAGTTTTAACTTATATTAAGAGAATTCTCAATTGAGTCAAATTTACTTTTCAATTTTGATCCGTTTTAAGATTCTTTATTTGCGTAATATATGTTTTTATATTGAATGTATTAATTACTATCTATTTTATATCTTTTAGGATTTATTTATCCATTTGTAACTCCTTTTTTAAATTTTCTCAAGTCAAAATTCAAATTGTGGTTATAAAACTTAAAAAGCAATATGTTAAAATTATTGATATTAAACAGGTCAAATTGGGCAGGTCATGACCCAACCCAATTTTTAGTCTATTTGAACCCAAAATAAACTTGGACGGATCAAGACCCAACCCAATTTCTATTTCAATCCAATCCGCTCATTTAATTTGATACCCCTAATACTGCCTAACATTGTGCAATACTTAACCGCCTCATTTTGATTTTAATTTTGATTCAGATTTCGATTCATACATAATAGAAAAGTTAACGGCAGAAACTCGTTTGCATATTCTTGCAATAATGAATGGGTATAGGGTTTCTTAGATCACAAATTTTAAAAATCTTTTGTTTTTCTTAAATTTTGTGTTAAACTATACTAACCCATATGAATTGGAACGAAAAAAATTCATTGCACGAATTCAATCCAGTTTTCTAAAAAAATGCATGATCTTCAGTATTCTTGACAATAGTTTTACGACTTAATACTTTTTTGATAGACTTTTGAAGTGAATCAATAAATGGGGTTCACGTTTTAAGTTGTCAATATTTTTTTACACTTACCAATGTGTTGATACAATTAGAATCCATAATAGGAAGATTGAAAACTTGAGTTAGAGAACACTATAATTTTTTAGTAAAATGATCAACTAATATGAGCCGGATGGAGTAGAATAGAACAAAGAAGTATGAAGACAGCAAAAATCAAAAAAAATATGGACAAAACAAAATAGAATGGGTGATTGTATGATTGAAATCTTGGAGTTGATATGAAAACTACATAAAACATTTTTTTATGGAAACGTAGTTATCATGGCCATTTTTTTATTTGGGCAATCTAGTTGTAATTTATAATGCTGCGTAGTGCCTGCTATTATGTACTCATATTTAAACTCCCCATTTGGATCTCGATTTATAACATAACATGAAATAAAACTCCTAGTGAACCTTAGAAACTCATTTGCATAATCTAGCAATAATGAACGGCAACATGATGGAATCGGTAAGATCGGCAGTTCTGAAAGAATCTTCGGAAGATCTAGAAGGTTCTTGCACTAAAATAGTGGGCTACGACTTCAATAAAGGCGTTAACTATTCTGAGCTTATCAAATCCATGGTTTCCACTGGTTTCCAAGCTTCTAATCTTGGTGACGCCATCGACATTGTTAATCAAATGGTTAGATTATTTCACTTCTCTCTTTTAACTAATTGAGATAAAATAGTTGATTCCTGAAGTTTGAAATTTATGTTTTTGAAGCTAAATTGGAGGCTTTCACATGAGGTGCCCACTGAGGATTGCAGCGAAAAAGAAAGAGATATTGCATATAGAGAGTCGATAACGTGCAAAATATTTTTGGGGTTCACTTCAAACCTTGTTTCTTCTGGTGTTAGAGAAACCATCCGCTACCTTGTTCAGCACCGTATGGTCAGTAGCATTTTCTCTAGTTTATGTCTTTACTGTGTTGTACCGTCAAGTTTGAACCTTATGTTCCCTGCAGGTTGATGTTTTGGTTACTACAGCTGGTGGTATTGAAGAGGATCTCATAAAATGCCTCGCACCAACTTACAAAGGGGACTTTGCTTTACCTGGAGCTGTTCTACGATCCAAAGCATTGAACCGTATTGGTAATTTATTGGTTCCAAATGATAACTACTGCAAATTTGAGGACTGGATCATGCCAATTTTTGACCAAATGTATGACGAGCAGAGTAATGAGGTATATTATATCTACTCTACTCTTGGGTCATTAATTAATTGTGTTTCTCTTTGTCATGATTTAGCTTCTTTTTATATTACAGAGCGTTCTTTGGACACCATCTAAAGTCATTGCTCGCCTTGGTAAAGAAATTAATGATGAAACCTCATACTTATATTGGGCTTACAAGGTACGTATATTTCTAAAAAGAACGGTTTAGTGCTTATTTAATTTGTTTCCAGAATAAAATAAAAGGAAAAACATGCGAGTTTATAATTAAACTAATGTGTAGTTATCATTCTCAGAACGAGATTCCTGTCTTCTGTCCTAGCTTGACGGATGGATCAATAGGTGACATGCTATACTTTCATTCTTACCAAAAGGGAGATCAAGACCGTAATCCTGGTCTAGTCTTAGACATTGTTGGAGGTATCACTATCTTATCGATCGATCAAGTGATGATTCTTTTAATTCTCTCATCAAGATATATATTGTTTGACTAAAGAATTAAGTTGTATATATAACCAGATGTCAGGGCCATGGATAATGAAGCTGTCCATGCTGGTTTGAGGAAGACCGGAATGATAATCCTGGGTGGAGGGCTGCCTAAGCACCATATCTGCAATGCGAATATGATGCGCAATGGTGCAGATTTTGCTGTCTTAATTAACACTGCACAAGAGTATGATGGTAGTGACTCTGGTGCCCGTCCTGATGAAGCTGTATCATGGGGAAAGATACGTGTTGGTGCCAAGAGCGCAAAGGTAATCTCTAATATATGTATCAGAATATTATAGGCTTCAAAGGATGTGAGATTCTAATTTCTTGTACTGTTTTCGATTTGGTGAATGCAGGTGCATTGTGATGCAACAATTGCATTTCCCATATTAGTAGCTGAGACATTTGCAGCGAAGCGTAAGAATCTCTCCCAGAACGGTGCCAAGTATGAACATTAAGGAAGCTGTCCTTCCAATTACACATGTATTGCTTAGTTTTTAAGCCATGTTGTTAGTGTGCAGAATAATTGAGGAGGGTTTGTTCAAGTTCAAATAAATTATCCTCCTCACTCCATGCTATTTGGGGAGGGAGCCATATTTAGTTCTCTCTCTGGTCTTAAGTGGAGAGCGTTGATGTTCATGTGTTTGTATCATGTTGTATCAAATATTATGAGTTTCTGAAGTTGCTTTTTAGTGCGTATTATTTTTTTAGTAACGTCTTTTTGAGCTAAATTTTGACGACATATCTATTGGGTAAAAAGTTATTCGCATTTACATCAAATCAATAAATGTATGATATGACTAATATCATAGACTTATTGTTGGGTTTTAAAAGGATGATACATTTATAACACTTATCAAATACAAATACAAATACATGTCATGCATTTACTGATTTGATATAAACACTCGTGAACTGTAAAAATTATTGGTTAGACTTACACAAATATGAGTAATGCAAATATTAATTATGAGTAAATTTATGCATTGCTTTCATGTAGTTTTAGTTATGTAGGGCTTAATTATTTATATAGTATTAATTATTTAGTGTTTTATCATACATAAATTACATTGCTTAATAACTTATAAATGTATTAGTTATACAAATTTTTAAATTGCAAATCAAACACCATATTAATATAATATATGAATAATTTACCTTCTAATTAACTAACAAATACAATATTAATTAGGCGCGACATTTAATATCCCTATAACTCACCTTCAAATTAGTGTTTCTCTTGAGAAGGTGCTCGTTGGTTTTGGGAAATGTGTGGTGGTGGTGGGGTTTTTGCCAAAGTGGCCCCTCAAATATCTATGATTTTCAGGCTGACAAATTCATGCATAAATTTTGGACAGAAACAATCTCAATAGTCATAGTCACTCTTTCTCAAATTGGTCTGTATTTCTAATTTAGTATCGAGAATTAATTGGTCTATATATATATAACTAAATAATTAGTCTTTTGGAAATTAAATTTACCTAGCAAAAAGGTACAAAATGAAAATCAGGTGTAGCGACAAAGAAAGGTCAACGAAAAAAAAAAACAGCAGCCACTAAGAAGCAATTGGAATTTCTGGTGGAAAATAAAAGGAATTCAGATGAAGAAAACTTAGAACCATTCATGGTTCCAACAGCTTATATCTTCACAAAATCCAAGTAATTTTCTTCATTTTTCTTTATATTTCAGTTGTTGTTAAACTGAATTCTCATCTTCCTCGTTACATATCTCTTCCTGTGCGGATGAAATCGCTGATAAGGTTAGTTTAAGCTTTCAGAACTGTCAAAAGGTTTATTCCTTTCTAAAAAAATGTAGTTTTTGTTTTCAAGTTGGAAAATGATATTTGAAAATTGGAATTGATTGAATCTTAATTTTGAAAACCTAGTTTGCCAACTGTGTCTCATCTTCCCCTTCAAGTTCTTTGTTGGTGTGGTCTTCTAAGTTTGTAGTATTAATCAATATCTCAAATTTGCTATTACTTCATAAGTTTCACATAACCCGCAACTTCATTCTTGGACTAACAATTTTTCAGTGTTAGAACGAATTGCGAGAATCCTTATAGCGGATGCCAACTTAGTTTAAGCTTAAGGTGTAGTTGTTGTAGTAGTTCATGTTGGTACCTTTCTGTTGTTGTGTGTAGAGTTGTAGACAGAACCCTTCTTGTTGGATTATCCATCAAAGCTGAAAGCAGATAGTAATAGATATGATCATAATGTAAATGAACTAGTTCATAGTGTCAATTTGCATAGATTGTGCATTTTTAGTTACTAATCAATAGTGTTAAGGTTTTGATTTGGGAGAAATATGGGTGTGAAAGTCAAGTCATTTAATGTTGTATTGTTGAGAAGAAACAGATAAAATTGAAGTCACGAAAGGGATAACATTTGAATTCGTTTTGGTTTCCCTGTTTCACTACTCAAGGAAACATAGAGTGGTTTTTAAAGATCTTAGAAACTAGATAGGCATCCTTTGCAACACTAAACTATTCTGAATTTTTTTCTTTTATCTTTTGTTGTTGCTTCAAGGTGAGTGTATCATGGTTCAACTATGTTAGGGCTTCAAAATCCACATGCCATTAGCAGCTGTCAGTCATTTCTGGATACTAGTGTGCTGCATGAAGTCATTCCTTGCAAGAGTAAAAATGTCAATCCCTTCATTAGTAATCTTAGTTCTGCTACCCTTGTGAGTTCTCCTGCTAAAGGAGTCAGCAGTTGTTCTTTTTCTTGGACTTGGCCAAGTCAACTGAAAACTTATAAACTCTCTCAGCAATCCGCTTCATATAGAGTGCTGGTAAGCGCTTATTCGAACATTTTATCTCTCTTGACATTTAACATATCCTTATGTAGCTCTTGTTTCATGGTTTCTTCAGTGCCGGTCACAAGATACTACTTCACCTGAAAATGAGTATCGCTCCTCCCGAAATATAGCCATCAGTCTGTTCAGGCGATACAAGAATTTTCTTGAGCGCGGAGGAGGTGACAACTTAAAAGTATTCTCAGTTATTTCTTCCTTTCTCTGTAACTTCTGTTTGTTGCTCTCTTTGTGCATTGTTATGATTCTGATCTTTCAGGAGTTCATCAGTGCTGGTGTGAATGCATATGCTTTGGGATGTACTGATGAAGGATTGAGGAAAGAACTGTTTTCTTTGAAGGAATCAGGTGTTGAAATTGAAGCCATGGAAACATATGGAGGAAGTACCAGCCTGAAATCCAAGATTTTATCTGTGGAGGTGAGTCACTTTCGCATTGCACAATCAGGGATATGTATGGATACAAAATAATTGAATATGATTGGCAGCTTTGTGGAACCCTGTGGATGCTACTGTTTCTGTATCTAGGATTATATAGTATGTACATAGTCCATTATATAATACTGAGGAAGTTGAATGAAGATTTTTCGCCATTGTTTACCGTGAAGTTGCCAAATCATTGACTTTCTTCCCACTGACTGGCACCGAGGTGGAGTATCTCAAAGATTATTGCTAGACTGCCTCTTTTCTTAAAGTAGTAACAGTGTAACACTAGCATACGTTGAAATAAAATGTTCTGCTGCTGTTTGGTTTCAGATAGACTAGTTTATCAGGAGTTGAGGATTTTGATTAGAAGCCATATTTGTTGTGTCGAGAAGTTTCTTTAGGAACTCTTGATATCGACTTTCATTCTGAAAACATTGGCAGAGTCTTTCAGGGATTCCTCCTTAATTTTGGGATGAGAAAAGGTGTCTGGAAAAGAACTAGGGTGCTAATAAATTGTTAAATTTTGTCCATGCTACTGTATAATGATCTGTTGCTAGAATGCTTAGATAGGTGTTAAAAATTTTCTCCAGATGTACGAGTTTCCTCATTTTAAAAAGGATATAAGATCTATAAACCAGTTGATTACATGTATCCATTGCAAGTTTTGCTATAATCATGAGAATCACCATGGCAACTAAAGATCTGTGATGACAGCTATTTAATGACGACATCTGGTTATGTTGCAGGTTGATGAGTGTATTATGTGGTTGAGCATTATATTCATCACCATCCTATGTACACCTCAACCAACTATAGTTCGATGGTCATCCACATCCCCAGTTTCTGATGAAATGATAGTCCAGTGGAAGGGCTTCTGTGCAATCATAGCAAATGCATACTTTGTGAGAGGAATGGCATGGTAAGGTTGCCGGAGCGCATACCATCCTCAATTAGATATTTTGTCGTTAAGAGGAAAACCTGTCATCAACGTTTTTCTTTTGAGGAATTTATTGGAAGTTCATTTTTTAGTATTGATTTGTGTATTAACATTCTCTGCTCTGCTCCTGAAGGCTCCCAGTGAAGACTCTCCAACTAGAGCAGATGGCAGTTGCTGGTCATGCTGAAGAGCCATCAGTTGTTGCTAGCCGGATGAGATTAGTTTTTACCACTCTAGAGGTGAGTTCAATCGACAGCTTTCTACTTCTAATACTCTTTCCAGAACAACATTAGCAGAAATATGTAATGCAAGGTTCATAATTCGATTTTCTGGTCTGATAGGGCTCAGTGGTTAGGCATGCATAAACAAATGTAGATAGAATCAGATCTCAACTCAAAATCCACTATGTTTAAACTCTAAAGCATGGCACAACTGTGTCTCCTAGTTTTCATGGTTCAAATCTGTTTTTTGCCTCAAAGCAAAACTAAACCAGGACACTATAAAGATCATCTCTTGTTTTATGATTTGATAATTACTTTACTTATTAACTTAAAGATAATTATGCATCCATCCTTGGTGGGTAGAGTTATCCGGTACTTGTGTTGTTGAGAGGTAGCAATTACCATGTAGAATTAGTCAAAGTGCACGGAAGCTGATCTGGATACCACGGTTGTTAAAAAAAATACTAGTTATAATAATGACAATTAGTATTTGCATAAGAAACTAATTCCTTCAACATCAGAGGAAGTCTAATGAGGATGTAAATTATATCTCAACTGTTGGACTACTAATCTACAGATGGTGATTATTCCTGGATATATCCTTCTATAAGATGTTCGTAAAAGGTATGTTAACAAAGAAACTATAGATAATTTTTACTACATACAAGGAGCTTTTGGTTTCAAAATTATGGTTTTCAGTAGGCCAAAAAAAACAAAACTTGGTGTTGTTGGTTTTTTGTTGGTAACATGTTCTTTCTTATTCACCGAGTATTTTTTCTCCTTAAATCTTTTTTAGGTTGTGAGTCCACAGTGGCCTAGAGGATGAAGCAGTAGATCCAGAATTTGGACTTCACAAATATGAAACATAGTTCAACAAGATATGTACACATTTCTTTCCTTTGTCCATTCTTTGTTAAACATTAATATTCTGCTACATCAATGTATGTTCGACATGCAAACTTCCACTAAATCTTCAGAGAGCAAAGAATATAAAAAGGATATATTGAGTGAAGCTAGTCTGTGCTGCTTTGAACACTGCTCACCGTGAACTTTTGCTGAACATATTGCTGTACTTTCACAGTGACAGAGCATATATATAAGATCAAAAACCATATATGTGAATTTTGATGTTGATCAATAGGCGCTATTCAACAGGGAAAAACTCCTTGAAATCACCTGTCATAAAAAATTAAATCAAGTACTCTCTAACTACTTTGGTTCATCATACAACCAAAATAGGAAAAACTAAAGAAGAAAAATGGTAAAAGTAACTTTAATTGAAATGAAAATGCAAAGAAACAATACAAATATATATATATATAACTTTTGCCCATTGTACAATGCAGTTGTAATTGTCACTCATGAATATCTCTTTTTCAGTGACCTTATCCGAATTATTGTCTTTAAAAATAGTAGAGCAGGAAATAAAAAACAAATACAATTTGCATGGCAAATGATTGGTTGACAATTTAGCTTTTGAGCAAAGTTGGCAGTGAGAGACTTTAGGGCTGTTTGTCACCATTCTTGCTAGCTTCATCAATTGGACTAGAATTTCCACTTACTGTACCTGTTCCCATTCCAAAGCCAAATCCCATACCAATACCAAATCCCATTCCAATGCCACCATTATCATTACTATAATTGCCACCATATCCACTGCCTTCTCCTTCACCATAACCAGAACCACCACCAATCTCATCATTCGTATTTCTACCTCCTCCTCCACCACCACCACCTGCTCCAGAACCTCCACCCGCGCCATTGCTGCCTCCACCTCCCCCTCCTCCTCCACCACCACCACCATTTCCACCAAAACCTACACCCATCCCGAAACCACTTCCATGACCATATCCACCGTTGGTTCCACCACCACCACCACCTCCTCCTCCTCCACCACCTCCACCTGCCCCACCAACTCCAGCTCCAAAGCCGCTACCATGACCTGATCCTCCGGCAGAACCACCCTCACCACCACCTCCTCCACCCCCCCCTGCAAAACCACCACCACCTTTACGTCCACCAAAAGTTCCAAAACCTGCACCTGCTCCAAAACCACTACCATGACCATACCCTCCATCTACGCCAGTACCACCTCCCCCACCAGACCCTCCACCACCTTCTGTACCAACTCCAGCTCCAGCTCCAAATCCTTCACCATGACCAGAACCACTAGTTCCATCCCCCCCACCACCACCACTGCCTCCTCCACCTCCACCACCTCCCACACCAACACCTGCCCCTGCACCATGACCCTCTCCATGTCCCGAACCTCCATTACCACTTCCTCCTCCACCACCACTACCCCCACCACCTCCTCCTCCTACACGATTATAAAAACTTTTGCATCCATGCCATCCACCATAGTTGCAATAATCATCTCCATCCTCCCCTTGCCCCTCCTCCATACACGCCATAACAATGCATAGTACAAGAAGAGCCACACACAAAGAACGACTAGAAATAGCCATGACTCTTCAAGTAACAATTAGTGTAAGCTCAGTACTGATGAGTAGTGAGTCTAGTGACCAACTTTTGAGCTTCCACTTCTTGGTTTCTTCTTTGTGCAAATGACTCCTCTATTTATAGCCATATTATTCATGCAATCATTTGAACATATCTCAAATTATGGTGAGTTGAAAGATGCATGTCTTGAAATTTTAAAAAGGAAAAAGTTCAACAATGAATTGACAGGCTACTAAATTATTACCAGGAACTTAAAATTATCGATATTTAGTTGGTACAAAATATTATTAGTATCCGAGGCGAATTCACAATTGGAAGTAAGATGTTTCTACAGCAATTTTAAATAATATAATTAGTTTTACCGTCAAATATTTAGTGAGCTTTTTAATAATATACTCTAAGAAAGTAATTTGTGTTTTTTATATGAATTTTGTAGCCGGTCTTAAATTAAAAATACGTAGAATATATCAAAATATTTTTTATTTTTTATATTTTTAAATATATTACGTGGAAAATTAGAATCAAAGAGCTGAAAAGAGAGACATTCTTTTAAAACGAACTACAAAGAAATTTGGAAAAACAAATTGAAACAGAATTATATATAAAATTTGATAAAATTTTGAGTTCACGTAAACACATATATTACCAAATACAAAACTAGTATGGAATATGAGTTGTCTGAACTAGATATTCCTCTAACCAAAGGATCATGGTTCGCTCTAATTCCAATTATTTCTAACGACAAGAGAAATCTCAAAAGTTGCGAACCAATTAGATATTAATGGAATTTTTAAACATAGTAAAGACAATAGGACTACATGCGATTAAACCTATGCCTTACACATGTTGATGTCGTACATTATGATAATTGACAATGAAATAGTGGAGTTGGTGCTTATATCTTCACTAAATTAAGGTAATTCTTAACAAAGATTTTGGATTCCTTTTGATCATGATTTCCAGGTGTCATTCTGTTTTATTTATAGCTCTACGTACCATTTTCTATTAATAACCAAATAAATATTATGGAGTTAAAAAGATTGTATTTCTATTGGCATAGAAAAAGAGTAAGAGCAAGCAGAAGAATTTCTTTTATCTTTTTATGTAAGATACTAATTATAGGACTAGACTAATACAGATTCTATCGGTGTAAGACTCATTAAAAGAAGAAGCGCTTTCTATCAAGATTTTTTTTAATTTCCAAAGTTGAGATATCTTATTAAGAATTGAGATATAATTTTTTTTTAAAAAAATTTTGAGATATTGTTTGTTTGCGCAGCCCATGTGAGTGTAGGATTTATGATTGGAAATAAGTAATTGGCAAAACGATATGAATAAAGAAAGAAGTAGGAAGAAATAATTTGGTGTATAGTGGCATTCCATTGGATAGTTGAAGTGTACTTGTGGCAAGGAACAAAAATGGAGTTGATATATAATGGCACCCATATTGTAACTCATGGTCCAAACATTATCAGAAAGTCAGTATTCCTTTCGTTTACTTATATTCCAGCTTTTGATCCCAAATTCCCAAGGACCACTTTATATAAAGTTTATACTTCTAACTTAACTTTTGGTCAATGAGGGGATACATTTTCGACGAATTTCATCCAACTAGACATTCTACTTCAATCAGAATCCAATTACAACCAAAAAGATTTAAGTTATATATATCGGACATGGCATTGCAGATACCCCCCAAATGAAAATAGTATACCACTTCCATCATGCTTCATCTTTCGGAAAACAAATAGAGGACGTTTGTGGTGTATATAGATCGGTTTAATTTGGTTTTTTATTAAAAAATAATTAATTTAATTATATCGGCTTATTAAATCTATAAATCAAATTTATGTAAAGTTGGTTTTTTAAATTTTAATTTTAGTCGGTTCTTTTGGTTTTTCATTTTTTCGATTTTCTTATAATTATGTTATATGTACTGATTAAAAAAGAGATCAAATATATATATATATATTTACTTATGTGTGATATGTTAGAACTTTAAAAGTTAAATGATTAGAAATCTTCACAAAAATTTAAAAATTCACATGAATACAAATTAAAATACTTTATGTATGTTATATCATTTAATCTATATATATAGATATATATTTACTTATGCGTGGTATGTTAGAACTTTAAAAGTTAAATGATTAGAAATCTTCACAAAAATTTAAAAATTCACATGAATACAAATTAAAATACTTTATGTATCTTATATTTATAAGATTAAATGTTGCAATCAAACTAAATACAAAATAAAATATTTAAAAAAAATGACAAGTCCAAATTTAAAATGATATATCTAAATATTAAAAATTATAAATGTATTACGTCAATTTGGTTTAGGATTGGTTTGATTATTTTTTTTAATACCAAACCAAATCAAGAGTGATTGATTGTTTTTCCAACACCAAATCAAACCACAAGTCAATTTTTTTAATTGACTTGATTCATCGATTCGATTTGACTTAATAATTTTGCTTGTACACTAGGACATACAAATTCTCCTAATTTATATATATATAGTCCAATGAAGCCGTGTCATGTAACACTCTTTAGGCCTAGATCTGCCCCTGACAAACCCGAACACTCTAAGAACGTGCATGATGACACATGACAAACACATATGTCAAAGTTGATATCACCTTTATTGTGTTATGTTTGTTATAACTTCAATCTTCACGAATCATCATTTATTCAGTACAACAAACTACTAAAGTCAGAATTTTACCCTACATAGATCGCTTGCTACAATAAGTAGTTAGTAAATAATACTTCTCCATATTGAGTGTTCACGTCAAATTATATCAAGTAGTAATTACTATGAAAGTAGTTTAATGAAGTTTATATCTTAAGAATCATGGTTAGGAGAAAGAATGCATCCATTAGTTGGTCAGGTAAAAATTCGTTCAACTTTTTACTCATACGTGATTAGTGATCAATATATTCCATTTTACTTTTGGAACTTAGAACCTCCAAATTCTTTTGAATTTGCTTATTTGTAATATAAAATAGGAATATTTGATTTGTTAAAAAAAAAAAAAAAAAACATCCCAAATGGAGTGTCTATGTTGTGCATATTCTTTTTCCATCATGAACTCATAAAGATAGAATACGATAAAGCAATGTAGGGAAAGTAAACATAATATTATTCCATTTTCTTGCACATTTAATTTTGAGATTCGAGAATTATTTACTTTGTCTTTTTCCATGCACCAAATATTCAAGCTTCTTCTTAAATCTTCTAAATGGAATACAATTGTACAAACTACTCCCACTATATATATAGATATGTCTTCAACTTCAATTTTAAGTTTTAAATTTATCTAGTGCCCTCTTCCATGCCTTTTAAAATTTTCCTAGTTGGATATTCTAGATGTTTTCCCCCAACCAAATATGCATTTGATATTCCAAGTGTCTAATTACGTACCATGGTATAAACTTAAATTAACAGAAATAAAGCATTAATCCTAGCTGTCCGGTGTAGTTGTCTTTAATTAATCTGTGCTTAATTAGCTCAAAATTATAGTATACATTAGGAAATTTATAATAAATGGCATATATATGTACCCGAATGAAAAAACAAAGAATTTCATCTTTAGATGTCGATAGTGTAGTTTAAATTTCTTTAACCACACAATTGGTATAGTATATCATATTATAGCAGATGATCTGAGTTATTTTTTTTCGTAACTAATACTATCATTTATTATGAACGATTATATATAGTTAACTTTTGATGGTATTAAAGAATTTCTTTTACATCATTTTTGTTACTGTATAGAAGCTAACTAAATTGATAACAAAAGGGTACGTAATACGCCCAAACATGTTTGGCTGTAGAACGGCGTTTAAATAATAAACAAATGGACCATTTTGTTTTTCTTAATCATTGTTTCTTGGGGAAAAAATAGATAATTTGTTGTGGATTTAGTAGTAAATTAGTACTTTAATCAAAGAATATCTCCGTGATAAGACCTGCTTATGTATAGGTTATAGGAATAGTTATCCATATGTACAATCTAAAAAAAGAATTAAGTAATAGTGATTATAGCTTAATAATTTTTGTATCTTAATTAGACAATATATATTTACATTAGAATTGATAAAGTCAAATCTCTAGCTATTAGAACATCTGGCATTAGGACATCACTTAGTAGTTTAGTTGTATTAGGATTGCATTACTAATTCAGCAGTTATTATTTATTTAGATTACTTTAGTTCAGTTCGTTTAGGAGTCTTATTATTTTCCCTGTAACTCTATTTAATACCTTGCTGCCTTCATTAATAAACATACTCTTTTCAGCACACATTCAGTCTTTATACTAGCAATGTTCTTGTTTTTAACTTCTTTTTCGAATTACTAGAACCCTCTTTATTTTTTTTATTTCTTGACTACCATTCTTGTAAAAATGGTTCCAGACTTGTATAAATCGGTTAAATTACGTGCGAATAAATTCTTGAGATTATACTAGTCAGTAGCCAGGCACTAGTTTTCCTTGAATTTTTGGAAATGTGGGAGATTCACGAGAGAAATTCTTTCATCAAAATCGGTTAATTAATTTTGTAGCCTTTTACAAATTTAATTTTAATTTTATGTTATTTGTCAAGAAAAAAATTATTTTAAAGATAAAAAGTCTAAAAAAAATATACAGAAAAATGTTTGTGAAGTCATATTTTTCTATTCAAATTATAAAAATTGAGGATCTAAAATGACTCATTTCCACGATAGTAAATGTGAGGGGATTGCGTCTCTTTTTGTTTTTTATGGTACCTGCATTGTCTCCATTCGGAGAAAGCGCTCTCTACCAAAAAATTTTAAATATTTATAGCTCATACTCGAGACCTGTATTTAAGAAAAGAGCAACTTCATCCACTGCACTACATCCATTGGTGTTGTGTCTCATTTTCAAATGTGTTATCAGCCCATTTGGGAACGCAAGGCCCATTTGTTAGCTCATTTGGAACATGAATCTACCAAATTAAAGTTGGTTTTGATGTTGGAATTTAGACTTTGGAGGGTCAATGTTTTCGTTGTGCTCACCTTAACAAAAGCCTGTGTAGCCTTTGGAAATGGTTCCTTTCTATTTCCTCAAGTTTCTATTGAGATTTGAGACACTTGTGTAAGATGTTCATATATATCTTACAACTAGAGAAATTTTTTTATTTACCTCAATCCCATTCAAAACGGACGAGGAACAAACAAACAGGAAATTAAAACACATAATTTCATTAATTGAACAATCAAGAATATCTCACTTATGAAATTTCTTGCTATAGCTATAGCATTCGAATAACATAAGATACTGAGGGAAAAGAGCATAAATTATTCTCCTAGGTGCAATTTGAAGTCACTACTATTATTTGTTCTAGTTCATAGAAACGAAACATATGTAATATATTTTCTCAGAACGAATTTATACCTACTAGATGGTATAGTTTAGCGATCTTTTATTAATAATTTGTGAGTTTAAGTTCAATGGTGGTGCATATCATTTTTAATTGTTGCATCACCTCCCTCACCTAGGTCACCTGCATCAAGTTCACCTTCAATTTTATCATTAGGATTATTGCCACCATTATCTCCAAAGCTTTCATTACCAGAACCACTTCCACTTCCACTTCCAGCTCCAGCACTACTTGTTCCACCATTTCCGGTGAAAGGACCAAAACCACTTCCAAAAGCACCTCCAATACTACCACCAAATCCACCAATGCCGCCTCCTAAACCAAATGGAGGCCTAATTGCACCACCAAAACCACCAAAAAAAGGCAAAAAAGGGTGCTGGAAATATTCATTCTGTTCATCAGCTGATGCTTTTGATTTTGCCTTCGTTGCAATTAGGCTCCTCGCGTTTATAGGGTAAGCAAGAACACTGGTGATAATAAGAATAACAAAGAGTGTCGTGGTTGCCATTTTGACTAGTAGAAGAAAAGAGTTGTTGATATTGGATGATGTTTTGAGTGTGAGACTTTTTGGATTTGCAAGCTCAAGCTATATAGGTGTTTAAAAATTGGTACAATAATGAAGAATTTGAAAGGTAGAAATATCACTAGCTCATACATATTGTGTGTAACATAATCATGTATTAGAGAGGGAAAAAAAAAAGAAGCCAACTACATCTCTTTCCATAGACATACTTTAATTAACACCTTCTCGACTACATGATCAACCTAAGTCTTAACACACATCAAGCAAATCAAATTACACAACTTAATTATATGGTTCAATATAATTAATTTATAACAAGGTCTTGTCATTTTTAACTTTAACAACTTCATACTGTTTTCATACTCTATTTAGTAACTTAAATTTCTAGATGAAATAGTCACACACACTTTAATTAACATGATATATATCATAATGGACGTAGGTCCTAATTAAATCTAAGTCTCACCATTACTATATATCAATTATCAAAAAGGATTTTCACATGCTTGGCTGGTGAATAAAAACATTAATATTCAAGCCCACACGTGAAGGAGATCAGGTGTCGTAAATATATAATTAAAATCATAAAATTAGCTTACTCTCAGTGACTAATTAACCTTTTTAAACTTTTAGATAAGACGATTACCACACATTTCAACAATATTCTATAAAGTTGAAACTAAACCCTTATACATTATGAACTATCACTGCACCTTGGCCGGTCTCAGGTGGATTATAAAACTGATTAAGTTACAAAGTTCTAATTAACCTAGCTAGCTAGGTTAGTTTAAACAGAAACAAGAAGGTTACTTCCTTGTATTAGCATATACTTAATAAGGATTAACTAAAAGAGTTTATTTTTTTCCTTGAGGAAATAGAAGAAACCAAAGGATTTTAACCAAGGGTGAGGTCAAGAGAGATATCTGAACTGAGAGATAGCTCTAAGGACATAGTGCTATGGGAGTCTTCCTCTTCAATCATTGAAGTTGCACTCTTATTTGACAAATTGCTAGTACCATATGCTCGTACTATTTTATTCTCATCATCTCCATCCTGCCCAAACAAAAATAAAATTCTCATTAGTCGTAATTCTCTATTATATAAGTATATCATAATTGTTTCCAATTTATTTATAAATGTCAAGCTAAAGAAAGTTTATTCATAAAAAGCGAATTAAGGATTTCGTTTATTACTCGAATAGTAATGCTTCCATTGAAGAAATCCCTAAACATGTAGCATCGTCCTTCCAATCCCATCATCTTCTCTGGCATAGGTTTCCTGGGAGGGGTAAACATGTAATTTCATATATCATCATTGAAATTCAATACTACCTCTCTGTCTTATTTTTCAGGTTATTACATTGATTGTGTAAAAAGCATTCACACTCACCATGGAGGAGGAAAAACAGTAGGGGCGGAGGCAATTTTGTCCAAATAGTTAGTTGTTACATTCGAATTAAGATGGCCATCAAACACGGCTTTGCCATTGAAATGATAGTAACTATGAAGAAAGTTTCCCTGTGGAAAATTCATTTGATCTGAACCATCAATTCTGTTCCTCTTTCTCCCACTTGCAGCTTCTGCTTCAGTTAATTAATAACCAAAAAAAGGTCAAATGAGTTGGTGGTAGACGTAATTAATTAACTCAATGGCGTTACATACTTATGTGTGACAAAATTAAAAAAGGTGAATTCACAATTTTGGTCTCCCTAGCAATAGATCTAGCCCTAGTACAAGTAGTTCTAAGTCCTTTTTCAATTTTAGTAAACCTAAAGGTGATATGGAGTCAGGCAGAATTAAAAAGGGTAAAATGAAACATAAAAAAATAATAATCCACAAATGGAACTTCAAATGGAGTAATATTTTTTCTTGATTGTATCACCGCTCACTACTCATTTACTTTCTACTTTATCATCTTCTTAGATAATAAAATCAAGTTTCAAGCAGCTGAAAAAAAATTGTGAATTTAAATTATACACCTGAACGCTCTCCTTTAATTATATATATATATAACTAGTACATACATAATCATATACATATGACATATAGAAAAAATTATGTAAATAGGGATACCTTGCATCTGTTCATGTTTCATGCTTCTGTACATCTGTTCATATCATCAAAGTACATTTTCTTAAAGCAACAGAAACGGTGAGGGAAAAAAAGAATAGAATTTAAAAATTTCATAGAATTTTTAATACCTGAAGGTGACTCTTAATGTGAGAAATGGTGAGGCCCTTAACATCCATAATTTGTAGCACCATCTTTGGTGTTGCTCCTAATTATTTGTATATAAATCAATAAATAAATAAATAAATAAATAATAGCTACCAAATTATTAAGTCATCATGATATATAGGTCCACTCCTCTTTCTTAATAGAAGAATGTAAAATCTTTACATATATATAAAAGAGAGAGAGAGTTAGGCTTACGATCAACTCCACCAAGACGCTCAACAGCATGCACAAAGCTGCGATGAAGATCATGAGTCCATCGAAGTCTTGGCATTCTGGATCTAACATATGGTCTTATTGATGATTGATCGCTATTGCTATTTCCTAGCTCGATGGATAAAGAAGGAGAATTTTCGGAGAATTTTAGCCCTTTCATCATTTTGTTAAAAGATGAGAGGTTGGGAAGATAGCTAAGCTTAGATGAAGAGAGAATTAAAGGAGTTATTATAGTCGTCTATGTTTAAGTATAGAGAAAAAAAACTAAAAAAGGGAGTAATAAATATAAGGGAGCTAGCTAGCTAGTCACCTTTTGTCTACTTGTCTCCACGCTTTTACAACTAGGATTTTCAAGTCTTATGAATTTTGATTATGAAGCTGAAAATTTTGAATTTTGTTCAACTTTGCACTCATAATTGGATGAAAATAGTGACTCTAAAAAAAGGAAGAAAATGAATAAGGAAAAAAAGATTCTGAATTTCTGAGTACTTTACAGGACATTCTTTGTTTGAAGTCAGTATCGAAACATTCGTGTGTGCCCTTACATTGAGATATCTACTATCAAGGGCCACCCCCCACCCCCCTCCTTAAAGCTTTTTTTTACCTTAAAAAATGGTCTAAAGACATCCTTAATAGTGTTTGAACATAGATGTAATCGTCAATGTGAAGATTAGCTAAATGACAAGCTGGTGTGTGAAAACCTCTTTTGGCATCTGGTGAAGTCAGTTACAAATAATTAACACAACAAGCGTGTACCGTATGAGTTATACAAGTCTTTTTTGTTTCTTAAAATTTTTATTAAAACATTATTCAAGTGTATTGTTTCTTAAAATAAACTCCATTTAGTTCATATTTAGTAGTAAATTACTAGGATATGACATACTCCTTACAAAAAATATTGAAGTAAATAAATTAAATGCTCCTTTTCACTATTATCTTTTTGATTATTTGTATATTAGTCTTTTAGAAAATATAAAGTAGTTAAGAACCTTATTAAATGAAGGGTAAATATTATGAAAAAGGTCCTAATAATTTTCTTGAACTTTGAATTATTCACTTATTTTAAACTATGAAAAAAGTCTCAACAATTCACTTAATATAGAATAGAAGAATATAGTTGTTGAGCTTATATGATCTTGATTCTTGAGTTCAAGGGAGGATCTATGGTGTGAGGTTCGGGTTTTTGGAAATTCAATAATTTTTTGCATAGATTCTGTACTTATATTGATAAATCTATCAAAAATATAAAATTAACCTAAATAGCCGTTTGTCCAATTGCTTAAACTAAAATAGCCGTTAAATGTATAATTTATGTATATAACCATTTATAATCTATGTATATACTCTCAAAAAAGAGAACAGTGAACTGAGCGGACTACATGGTGTTAAGATCTCAAATATGTAATAAAATATTTTTTTGGTCAAGCGGTAGAAATAAAATTAAAGTTGCTTAGGTTTAGCTATCCTCCTTGATGAGGGTTTGAACCTCTGGGGCACATATAATAATTATTTTATTTTATTTTTCTCCCTTCCATATTACTTCTCCATTTTGTTTTTTATCCCTTAAGAAATTGTAAATTGAAAAAAATACATTTTTACTGATTGTCCAGTCCATTCCTTTTAGAGCCTTTATCTAGACAAATAATCCACTCCTTTGACTAACTGTGCACGTGTAAAGAAAAAGATTTTCTTAGAACTTGACGATATTTACCGTTTCAGAAAAATAATTTTAAGGATAAAACAAGAAATTTAATTAATTCTATTTTGATTTGTAAATTGACAAAAATAAATGAAGGCAAATATTTTTAATAATATAAACAAGTAATACTCTTTAGGTCCCTAATTATTTATCTACTTTTTTTTTTTTTAATTGTCTCTAATTGCTTGTCCACTTTGATAAATCAAGATAGAAATTATTATTTTTATCTATTATACCCTCAATTAATTACTTTGAAAAAAGATAAAACTTCTTGAAAATTTTAAGTTTTTAATTCATCTACTTCATAATTAATAGGAGTAAAATGATAAACTTATTATGTCAATCATTATTTTCTTAATAAGTGTGTCAATTCAAAGTAGAATAGACTAGAGGGAGTATAAGAAGAAGAGATCAGAATAGTACTAAGAGTAAAGTACAATAGTAACCTTGTTTATTGGGCAATTGGCAAAGCTAACATGACTAAATTATCTTATAGGAGGTGAGGTCAAAGAAGGAAAAGATGAGGGTGACATAGGCAAATGTATGTCTTCTAGGAAACAAACATACCAAATTCTCCATTTTCCTCTTCCTGGAAACCATAACTCCTTCTCATCCCTAAAGTTCCTCTATTCCTTTTTTTTTTCAAGGCTCGGAACGTTAATCCTGACTAGACGGAGCCAATGAAATTTTGACACACGTTTAAAAGTTTGTTGACATGTGGCTCATTCGCGATAACCTTTTTAAATATAAATTAGATCAATCTCATGTTCATGATATTTTAGAAAGATGACACGTCATTATTATTCGAATTTTCGTATGATACTAATTATTAGTGGGGTGTATATATGTAGCCAAAGAGAGTGATTTTAGAATATTCTGTGAAAGGATGTAGCTGAGGAGAATATGAGTAAGCATGAATAATATGGAGAATTTCTAGTTCTACAATATTGTGGACGGGTGAAAAAGTGTGAAGGCAGTACTAGATTTTGAAAGAATGAGGAAAGCCAACTTACTCATAATTTCAGGTAAGAAACTAATTTGGCTAAAGTTAACTTGAAAATCCGATCCGTGAATAATATCTGCATGTGTCATACATATTCTTATCTTATCAGAGTCAAGTTCAATTGAATTGAGTTGAGTTTCTGCCGTCCTCAACCAAACATTTTACATTGCCAAACAAAGCAACTGAGCTTTAAATAAATCGACCCCTATTAGGATCGAAATAATTAAGCCAGTGTACTAAACTTTAAAAATCATAGTAATTAAGAAGCCAAAAGAAACAAATTTAACGTTGTTCGGTCAATTGATCTATATAACAAATGGTACAAATGATGAGATTATTTCTCATTATTGGTGAATTTCCTCTAGCTAAGCCTTCCTCTCGGCAGTCTTGTTATCCTTCTCAATCCTCAATCGAACGATGAGATTTTCGAGGTTATCTACTTGCATTTGTGTTTCAAGTAATTTTTTAAATTATTCTATAAAGAAGGTAACTTCTCAATTAACATTGTCACTTGAAATGTGTCATTGACAACCAAACCTGCATAATACATTAGGTAAGTAATAAAATTGGGATAAAATCGCCGGATAATTTAGCTCAGAATTAGTTATTCTGTGATTATAGTGTTATTTATCCTCCCACATTAAAGATGGGATAACAATCCTGAAATAACTAATTGAGATAACTTGTTCCCCAATCAAACGAGCCCTTAATACTTTCAACAAAGGCACTATTTAAGTTTATACCTTAAGTAAGGAGATCATGGATGATACTTGGATATGTATTTAGCCCAATAAAGGATAGTTTTGAAAATGTGTCATATTGCCCTTATCGAAATAGTCACAATCTATTTAATCTGCAAAAATATTATTCAAATTGCATCTTTCTCCTAATATTTTTTCGAGATAATACTTTTTCATTTCTCATATATATCTCTTAAAAAATCTAACAATTATAATACTTGAGTCAAAGCTATGACCACTGTGAATCAATTAATACCTCTTCACAGAAAATTTACACTTATAAAACACTACTCCTTTATTTGACGAACTGCTAGCTAGCATGATAATTTAATTAGTTAAGTTGGTACACAAATTTATTACTATATTGTTACCAATTTATTTTATCAAGTAATTAAAGAAAGTATAACTTATAAAAAGCGAAAGATTTTGTTAATTACTGGAAAAAAATTGATAGATTTAACTCGACTCTTAATTACTAAATTCATGTGAGCTCATATCTTACCTTGTAAATCCTCCTTTGTCATCTAAAAGCGGAGACCATAAACTCATTAATTATAAAGTGTACTATTTTACAATTTATTTATATATATATGTATAAAAGGCCTTCGGAGTTTGATTGCACAATGATCAAGGGTAGTGTCAAACTTTTCAGTTACTAATTGAAGTCAAAGAACCTTATAGAAATTGTTACATATATATGTTAGGTTTGCCTGTATAGTCAAACGCAACTAATTCTAGAATAAAAATAAATACACATATTTATTTATTTCTACCCTTGTTATCCTACGGAATATGGAGTCAGAAAAAACTCGAAGGTCAAATATAACATAAAAAGATTCTTGAAGAAGTGAATTTCCTCTATCTTTTCTAGATTGCATCACTGCACACATTTACGTACTTCTCTTTCAATAATTGAAAAATCATAGACTTCTCAATTCATACTACTGTTTACTTGGATAAAAAAAAAAAATATATATATATATATCAAGTTTCAAATCAGTCAATGAGTACATATATATACTACGGTATGATGAGTTGGAGCAATTTGTTTTTTTTGGTTTCCCTCCCGGTGTCCGGAGCCCACATTGAAGCTCCGACTAAATTCGGATCGCACTCTGTAGGGCCCATTCGGGGGTGGCACTCCCAACAAGATTTTCTTGAACCCGAGACCTCTGGTTAAGGGTGAAGTACTCTCAGTCTCCCACCAGTGCACCACAACCTTTGTGTGTTCAACATTGTACACACAAATTTTTATCTTGTCCAGTAAATTAATTACATATTAACTATTAGAGGCAGATTCAACAATGCGATGCCTCAAGGCAAGAAAATAGCAATCGATTTTTAATTCTATAATTTGACACGAATAGCTAATATCATAATAACAAATATGATTTTAGCATAAAATCGAATTCATTATAAATTTGTGTGTAAATATTGACTAGCCCATCATCATGTTAAAAAAGATGAGAGGTTGGTAAAATGGAAGGGGGAATTAAAGGAATTAGCTAGCTAGGTCTATGCTATACAACAAAAAAGAGAAGAAATAATATTAGTGAGTCTGTTGTCATGTTTTGTCTACTTGTGCATTGAGGCTTTTTCCTACAAAAAATTGAGTTCATCTTGAAGAGTTTAATTTAATAAGTCTTTTGAATTTTGATTACAAAGCCAGAATAATTTCAGGGAATTTTATGATATGTTCAACCTAGAATTCATTATTGAAT